CTAATTCTAACATCTAAATATCTATATTAAATAATGATTATTCTCATATTTAAATCATTAAATATTTCCCTCAATTCGCTATAGTATTCCATAAAAACAACAAAGTATCTTTAAGTCATGCTGGTACAGCTAGTAATCATGAATCTATATATACTGCAACTCCAATGCCTATATATATATTGCAACTCTAATGCCTATAATCATGAATCTACAAATACTGCAACTCCAATGCTTACACTTCCTATAATAGGTGATCAACCTAGAAATAATGAAAAGTTAGTGTTGATTCATATAACTTTGAGAATTTCAAAATTGAATTTACAACTGTTTTTATAAATTCTAGGACATCTGGCAAAATATTTGCTGATTCAGTAAGTTTGTGATTTTAGTAATGATCACTGCTAATCAAAACTTATCAAATCAGCAAATATTTGGTCAGCCAATTTTTTGTTAGATGTTCCAAAATTTATGAAAACAGTTGTAAAAGTTGATAATATAGTGACAATTTTTGGCTAAAGCTAATGGCAAAAGAAAACAAAAAGATTTAATTAAATAGTGATGTTTCAATAACCATATTTTGAACCACCAATACTTATTGTTGAGATAATTCTTAATCCAAATTTTAAATTCATTATTATGAGATTACACTTACCATAATTATTATTGCCTTCTGCTATGATTTTCATAGTCACTATTGTTGTTGCAACCCTTAGGTCTGTTTTTTATATAAGGATTGTTAAGAGAAGAACAAATTTCTGTGCTTTTTTTGGGGAGTGTTGCTATAAAAAGTTTTATTCAGCCTTTTTCTGATCCCATTCTTGTGTATCATAATTCTAAATCTTGCATTTTCTTCACGCTTATTGCTTGGTAAAAAGGTTGAATTGTTATCAATGAACTGATCTCAAAATTGAATTTACAGCTGGTTTTATAATTTCTGGAGCATCTGGCAAAAAATTGACTGGCCGAATATTTGCCAATTCGATAAGTTTGTGACTTTTGTAATGATCACTGCCAAATCAAAACTTATCGAATCAGCAAATATTCGGCCAGTCAATTTTTTGTCAGGTGTTCCAGAATTTATAAAAACAGCTATAAAAGTTGATGATACAGTATTATAGGCTAAAAGATTATTAAAAAAAAAAAAATGCCAATCTTTGGCTAAAGCTAATGACAAAAGCTGCCGATTTAATTGAATAGTAATGTTTCAATAACCATCTTTTGAACTACCAATATTTTATTGTTAAGATAATTTTTGATCTAAATTTTAAATTCATTATTATGAGATTATACTTACTATAATTATTATTGTTTTGAGAAATCACTTCTGCTAGTCACTATTGTTGTTGCAGCACTCAGATCTGACTTTATATAAGGATTGTTAAGAGAAGAGCAAATTTCTGTGCTTTTTTTTTTGGTGTTGCTGTAGAAAGTTTCATCCAGACTTTTTCTTGATACCATTCTCATGTATCATGATTCTGAATTTTGCATTTTCTTCACACTTATTGCTTGGTAAAAAGGTTGAATTGTTATCAGTGAACTGATCTCAAAATTGAATTTACAGCTGTTTTCATAAACTCTGAGGCATCTGGCAAAAAATTGACTGGCCAAATATTTGCTGATTCGATATGTTTGTGACTTCGGTAATGATTACTGCCAAATCACAAATTATTAAATCGGCAAATATTCGGCCAGTTAATTTTTTGTCAGGTGTTCTGGAATTTATAAAAACAGCTATAAAAGTTGATGATGCAATATTATAGGCTAAAAGATTATTAAAAAAAAAATGCAGAAAGATTACAATTTTTTGCTAAAGCTAATGATAAAAGAAATTATAGAGTAGAAGACTCATTATTGGTTTAAGTACCTTGTGATTCTGGCATCTCTTCACCTTGTTGAACATACATTTGCTCATTCTGTATTGTGCCTCTATCTTGAGATTCATCACTATCACTACTTTCATGCCTCCATCTTGAGATTTATTACTATCACTACTTTCATGCTCATTAGAAATGAATCTTGTGAAATATGATATTAATCCTAAAAATAATCTACATCTATATGTCTCAAATCTTCTACAGTGTCTTGTTGCATTTCATATAAAAGTTCAAGGATCTCTTCTGAACCTGTCTGTATATTATTGTTATCATTCTCTAAATCTTCATTTGATTAATACCGTTCGTTTTCAGAAATATACATAACCAATATTATAAGCTAATAATGTTTCTTCATTATCAATTCCTTGATCTAACTGTTTCTTATTATTAAAGAATACTATATAAGATGATTCAAAATTGTCAAATGGATGATTAGAAACAAACTTCTACCAATAAATAACAATAGCATCAATAATTTTATTAATATTAGTTTTCCCTTCTACAAGAAGTTTGTTAAGTAATGCTTCTAAACTGGAACAGTATTCCTGTTGTTCAATGGGAGTACATCTTTCATAGTATGAAGACATGTCAGAAATCAATTCTTTGTCTAAATAATTGATGGTAAATTAAGAAAATTTAATTAGCTTTTTTTTTTTTTTTTTTTTTTAAGTTAAAGTCCCTATCTTGGGAGTTGCAATGTTTTTATTCAAGTATATTAGGAC